AGTAAATCATTTTTCATTTTCAACCACACATTCTGTAATAAAATAATATTTTCCATCACATCAATAATTTTTTCTTCTTTTTCAACCACACATTTCCCATCATATCACTATTCAAAAATCAATTTTTCCCCCAAAAATTCCTACCAAACAATCACTCAGTATTTAAGTTATTATTCCATCTAACTCGAAGTAGAAAAAATATGTGCAGAATAAAATGGGATAGAATAAAAAATTAAAATCGGACAGGCGGGAAATTAGAGTGACACTTGGCTCAGGAGTTTATAAAAGCAAACCAACAAACTCGATTGTGTGAGATCTCCATTTACAATAAATTTGTACAACTAGTTTGACAATATGTGAGGTGTAAAGATCATATTTTTCAAGTCAATGAATGGAGTGATGCTACAAGTACATAATAATTTACATAATGATCTACATAATTGCAAGTAGCATTGATCAACACATTTAATTCAAATCTGACACTTTTACATCAACGACAAGTTGGTTGTCACATTACATTATGTCAATCATTGTGTACATTTATTATGTGCACTTAGCATTTTTCCAATGAATATGATATCTGTCAATTAAACAATAAACCATCTTAGGCTCTGTTTGGGAGGGATTCTCAAAATTCTACAGTAAATCAATTCTCATTTTCAACCACACATTCTTCAATAAAATAATATTTTACATCATATCAATAATTTTTTTCTTCTTTTTCAACCACACATTTCCCATCATATCACTATTCAAAATCAATTTTTCCCCCAAAAATCCCTACCAAACAATCACTCAGTATTTAAGTTATTATTCCATCTAACTCGAAGTGAAAAAATATGTGCAGAATAAAATGGGATAGAATAAAAAATTAAAATCGGACAGGCGGGAAATTAGAACGACACTTGGCTCAGGAGTTTATAAAAGCAAACCAACAAACTCGATTGTGTGAGATCTCCATTTACAATAAATTTGTACAACTAGTTTTACAATATGTGAGGTGTAAAGATCATATTTTTCAAGTCAATGAATGGAGTGATGCTACAAGTACATAATAATTAACATAATGATCTACATAATTGCAAGTAGCATTGATCAACACATTTAATTCAAATCTGACACTTTTACATCAACGACAAAATGGTTGTCACATTACATTATGTCATTCATTGTGTACATTTATTATGTACACTTAACATTTTCCCAATGAATATGATATCTGTCAATTCATACATTATTTTCAAATTAGTTGTACAAGTAGCATGATTATTTACAAATTAATTGTATAAGGAGCACGATTATTGTTGAAGTCTGCATAAGGTTTCATGCCATCGGTGTTCTCCAAGTTCAACGAAATGACTAATATCCCTGGAATGAGACAAGAAGACATTCTCTGTTGGACTGTCAACTTTGTACATATAGCATAACTCAGTGTTAATCTGACCCACGTGTCGGCCTGCAAAAGCACAAATGGGCCTACAACCAAATCCTTTAAAACTCTCAAAGAGCGTCCTAAGCGCCAAAAATACAAATCCTTCTCTCTCTCTCTCTCTCTCTCTCTAAGCACTCACACTATTGCACCAGCGCTTTGAAATTTCACCGATCAGGAAATGACGGATCTCGCTGTTTCACTCACTGGTATGAAAGGAAACCATTTTTAAACCCCACAAACAATACCTTGTTGATTTCGTACGCAGTCACATGCTGATATTTACATACAATATATGTGTGGGTACATGGGGTGGGAGGTATTTGGTTTAATCTATTGATTGATGATGTTATGGTGAATAATTTCTTGCTGATTAATTTTTTTTGTTTAATTTTCTCATCTTGTGGTAGTTTATTTTAGATTTAGTTGTGATGGAATAATCAAGGGTTTAGAGGTGGGTTTGAATGGGAATTATTTTATTTTTTTTGATCGATTATTATGATTTTTTAACTATAAATAATGTGCAAAAACTTATATCTGTGTTTTCAATAGACCTCTACTCGCTATCACTATCTTATCACTGTCCATTAATGAATGTTTTTTAGGTGTATCTACAGGTTTTCCATCAAAGAAAGGGTGAAAAACTTTATTGTAGTTTCGGTATGTTTGATTTCCTAGCTAAACTTAAAGTTTCATTGGCTTATGTATAAGTGTTCTATTTATGGAGAGGAAGATTCTTGTTTTGTGTAAAAACATGAGCAAAGTCAAGTTTATACTTGTATGTGGGTTTGTGAATGTGTATACACATGTGCACATACATGTAATTTTTCAAATCCTTTGTGATATTCTGAAGTTATTTGATATTCTGGCTTCCCTTTACTCTTTGCATCTAAATCATTAGTATTTTTAACTTTATGGAAGAGGGAGATCCTTGCTTGGTAAAACTCAAGTAAAGCTGGTATCAGTACTAGTATTGGAAATGCCTCTTAAGACATGTAACCAGTTTTTATCATTTGTCCTTAATGCTAGCTCATGTCGGTGTTTATCTTGCAATGGAAGAGTGAAGTGCTTGGAGTGTTTTTTTGGTCTCATATTTTTCCAGTTTTATTTATTTATTTCTCTTTTGGAGTATCAGTGTCTTTAATATGGGATTTTTCAGTTCTTTCTTCTTTATTTATCAAAGTTCACAGTTATCAAGAGAATGACGTTTGAATTTTTGTCAAGATTACTACCTCAGCACAGGTTTCTTGGCTTATGACTCTGTTCTCCCCATATCAAGTCATTATGGTTGAAATACTACTTTAGACTTTTAAAGAAGACAAAAAATATTAGAAGTAATGCAGATACTCTTTACTTAGATTGGAAGTTTGAAATAGTAGATTTTAGCGATGCTCCATTATCCATATAGGCATATACCGTACCATCTACTGTTCTTTGTACATAAATATCTGTTTTTGTAATTGGAATGCTGATATCACTCTTTCTGCACAATTGTCTGTTTAGGTTGAGACAATCAATGGGATTTGAGTTCTCCACTAGAGAGACACGGTGATCTTGCAGTCACCAGTAGGCCTAGTGTAGCTGCTGTTACTAGTAAAAGAAATCGTGGAGCTACTATTTCTGGAGCTGACCATATGTCATTTTGACATATGCATCTGCCTTATGCCCATTCTTATCCACATGACCAGATAACTGATAATTATGATGAATTGTTTTGCTAACCCCAATGGCTTACCAAATCTCCAGGCTAATAAAGATTTGATCCATGTCAGAAGCAATGTCTCTAAGCTTCCTAGAGTATCTGAACTTTCACATCTTGAAGTGACTATGAGACAGTTGATTGATGGAAATAATATGACCACCACAGATTGTTTCATGAATGGAGGTGTTTTTTCCTCTGACTATCAGCATCCAGAGGCTAGTGTGAAATTTATGCAAGAGGTGAGGCTTTCACAGATCATCCAATGACCATACAGGGAGAAGAACCAAAAGCTAGTAAACTTATTAGGTCACAGATAAGTGGAACTTTTTCCAATTTAGGATCTACCACATCTGTGTTGCAGCATAATAAGAGCTTTGTTCAGTTTAATTCTCCAGGAAAAGTTGATGGAAGAGATGCTCGGAACTGAAGCTAATCTAGAAACCAGAGTCTTCAGAAAATTCAGAACCTGAGAGATTGCCAATAAATTGGACGAATTTGATTCTTCCAATTATAAATGTCATGCTAGACCAACTACAAGAAACCCTCTTGTTTGTACAGAATTTGCTGGTAGAACTCAAAGCTTCCAAACTAGTGCTGGGGGGTTGTCAAGTTCATCATGAAATTTAGGTGGCCAGATCTCCAGTTGTGATGATGTTGGAATTGATAGAGGACACAATACCGGGCTAAGGTCACTCCCGTTCCACACTTTTCTGACTTTACGAGCTGATAAACATCCTAATCATTATGTAAACAGCGTTAGATTCAGATTTTCAAGTTGGTATGGCTCCATCCTTGATGCCTTTTGACAGCACTTTCATTTCCCATCCTGAATGTGCTAGGTGGTCTGTTATGGCGTCAGATTCAGCTAAGCTTACCATGTTTCCGAATCAATTAACACCTCACCTGCGACGGATATGGAGAGTTCCACGAGAGTCTCTTCAGAGTCTTCCATGAATTTCCATCGTCTCCGAAATCAAGGAAGCTCCATAAGGCATGCTCTGAAGAAAGTCATCACCAACTTAAGATGAAACTCCAAGAATTCTCTAGAAAATTGGTGTTGATCTTTTGGTGATCAAATTCCAGATTCTTCTTAAGCTGCCGACATAAAAGAAGGTCCTAGAATATTGTTGTATAATTTTATTTTCCACCACCATTCTAGAAGAGTTTGCCACCACCATAAACACCTATATATATGTGTGTTTGATGTATGTGTGAATGAGAGAGACAGGATATATATAAGCAAGAAAGAAAGCATGAGTTCGAAGAGAAAGGTATGAGATAAAAGAGAAAGACAGAGTGGACGGAGTGCGGGCTGACGTGACGTGTGGGAATTGAGACACAATATGACAAACTTGCAAGGAGTCGTACCTCTAAGGGCAAGATCTATAGGAAGTAGTTAGTGGAAGTAGTCGGGTAAGATTATGTTCGTTATAAAGACGACAATTGAGGTAGAATTGTTGGAGCACATAAGGGATAAAAACATACCAAAAGAAGTACTAGACACTTTGGAGGCACTTTTCTCAAAGAAAAAATGTCATAAGGTTGCAGCTTCAAGAGAATGAGCTTATCTCTATCAGTCAAGGAGAAATGACCATAAGTCAATATTTTAACAAAGTTACATCTCAGTTACGAAATTTTAGGATTAGATTCTTCGAGTAAAATTTTGAAATCTAGAATGAGAAGAATAATCATATATAGATTGAGACCCGAATTTAGAGGATTCATATTGCTATACAAGGTTGGCTAGAGCAACCTTCACTAGTAAATATCAAAATTTGCTAGTGGACCAAGAGGCGTTGATCAAGCAAATGTTAGGGGTCTTAATAAAGATAGAAGATGAAGTACTATATAGTTATAAAAGAAGAGATCGAACCATCAGTAAAATAATAAAAAATTAAAAGAAAATAAACATGAAAAAGGTTCTCAAACAAGGGGAAGTTGTCATAGGAGAGGTCCGTCGAAAGATTTCAACGAACTAATGACTCGTGTTTTGTATGTGGCAAACGAGACCATTACGCCAGATAATGCCGATTCATGAAAAAGCCAATAGAAGGAAATATGACAACCTCCAATGACTGATAAAAATATATTAGTGAAGAAGAATGGGATGCTGAGGCATCAACAAGAGAATGCTGATTCAAGAAAAAGCTAGCAGAAGGCAATATAAGCCTCCAATGAACGATAAAAATATAATAGTGAAGAAGATGGGATGATGAGGCATCCACAACAGTAATTGAACAGCTTGAGAAAAGAAAATCATTTCAAGTCTAAACGATGAATCAGCACTAGTGGTGATCCTTCTTGAACAAATGAATAATGAAGATGATTGGATTGATGACTCAGGAATAAGTGTTTGAAGAAGCATATCTTTGGCAGCACCACAGAGGGTGGAGCTGTTAGATTCAAAGAAAATGGAAGACAAATTGAAAGACTAGATCACAAAAGCACAACAACGTCCCTAGAAACAGAAGATGCACAAATGTCAAGTGAAAAAGAAGAGTTTCTAAGAGCAACACAGAATGCCATGCAAAATGACCTAGAACACATTAGAAGAGGGTCGGCAGAATCTACAATAAGAGATTGAGGTATATACAAATTTACTACCACAAATAAAAAAAATTGAGTAGACACGAGAAATCAAATACCAAGTATACTAATCAAGAAATAAATGAAGAGAAAAATATAAAAGAGTTGGATATATTTGAAGCGGCAGGTGTGTTGAATAAAGGACCAAGCGCTTCAAAATTTGTCTAGATTGATAGACAGCTAGACGTGACTAAAAAGAAAAGAGTCAAAATGAAAAGTCAGTGCTCAGGGGAAGAAAAGAAGTAAATCATCACCGACTTAAGATGAAACTCCAAGAATTCTCTACAAAATTGGTAATGATTTTTTCAATTCCATCGCCCCCCTTTTTTTAAAAATTCCAGATTTTTCTTAAGCTGCCGACATGAGAGGAGGTCCTATAATATTGTTGTATGATTTTATTATCCACCACCATTCTAGAAAAGTTTGCCACCGCCATAAGCACCTATATATATGTGTGTTTGCTGTGAGTGTGAATGAGAGAGACAGGTTATATATAAGCAAGAAAGAAAGCGTTAGTGTGAAGAGAAATGTGTGAGATAAAAGAGAGACAGAGTGCAGGCGTGAGTGTGTGAGAATTGAGAAAGTGAAAAAAGAGTTGGTGGAGATAATAGTGGGAAGTGCTGTGAGTTGGTAAAACAATTAGTGAGGTGTCCTAGTGTGCTTGGTTAGTGTCCATATTAATTGTAAAATCATCTTTAGTCACGTTTAAGCTTGCTCTTCAATTCCACAATTTAATATTGAACTGATTACTCTGCAATTTTTGGGGTTCAATTTTGGCTTTGTCCTGTCTCCTGTCTTCAGATATCTAAAATGCTGAAAGTTATTTGCTAAAGATGGGCAGGTAAGTAGTTCCTTTATTCCTACCTATTTGTTAGTTGAGATTTGGATTTTGTTTGCATAACCCAGACAAAATGAAATTACTTAATAAGAACTAAAAAATTTATGACGAAGCTGAAGACAAGGTTTTCAAGAAGATCACCTAAACTGATATATAATAAATAGTTTCAATTTTGCAGGGGAACACCTAGTCAATTCCACTGTACAATGTTGGAATTCTTTTTTCTTTTGCACAGATGAAAATTGGTTTGCTGAGGGAGCACACATATTTTAGAGCTTATGAAGGAAATATTAGAAGAATTTTCTATTTTCTTTATTCAGTTTCCCCTTTGGGAATTCAACATCCTTTTTGGTCCAATGAAAAGGTCTATATAACTAGAGTAATGTGGCAATGGATAAAGCAGATTAATATAGTAGACCCAATTTTATTCGGAATAAGATTTTGATGTTTTATAAATAGAGCCAGAGTCTCAGTGTTTAAGGGTCTTTTACAAGTCACTATCTAGTTTTGTTGAGCTGATGAGTACCATCAATGTATTTACTACCTCAGGACAATCAATACATTACTTGATGCAATTTTTTGTGGACTACTTTCCTCAGGTCAGCTACCTTCTTGTTGTATCTTTAGTTCTGTCCAAGCCTTGGGTATTGTATGATCCTGAGAGAAGTGGGTTCCAACTTTCAGGGAGTAGCACTTCCCAATCTGCTGCAGGGGGTCCATTCCCTGAGAGGTAGGCGTTCAACCCAAGGTGTGTATCCCTCAATTAACATGAAAATCCATGTGGCCTGACATGTTTCATGTAGGACCGCCTTTCTCTTTGTTAAGGTTTGGGTTTTGAACTATGATAAAAGGTGATTTAACTGCCTGGAGTCATAATGTTCAAATTCCTCTAAATGGTGTTTTTCCTTGGAAGGGAAAGACAAAAAATTATGACTGAGACAAAATATTCTGGGCCCAAAGGATTTACCTGGCATATGCAGGCAGTAACCTCTATTGAAGAGCTATCAGAAACACAAGTTATGGTGGTGTCTCATCCACCTGATTACAAATGTAGTGTAATGGTGATAAAATGTCAAAGTGGTCGAGAATTCACTATTACATATGAAAAAGCAAGTGCAATAGGGCAAAATTGTCAACTTTCACATAGTATTTGGTAACATTTTTCAGGTGACCTGCATCAGCATCAAAATTGTCAATTGGTTCATTATCCTCAAAAGCCTGTTGGACATCCAATGGCCATGGGTATTTGCTCTTCAACTTGATGCCCATGCTCTGTTTTTGTTTCCAAGTGGTTGATCTTGGATGTGTTACAATACCCTGATCTCTGTGACTTTGAGATCACTTTTGTTATTACCAGGCCCTCCTCAAGTCTCTTTCTCTGCTCACGTTAATCCCTATACTCTCAGTTACTGCAGGTACTTGCAACGAAATTCCTTACTGATATTAGATAACTTTTACTATGCTTCGTATTTCAAAATGAGATCATTTTCATTTGCATATAATTTATCATTTATCATTTATTTATGTAATCTAGGTCACCTCATTGTCATTTGCAACTCAGCTGTCTAAGGAATCTCCTAAAGCCGATTATACTAGAGGTGTTTATTATGCATCTACTTTGGAGGAAAATCATAAGCCAACAGAACAGAAGTGCCTGTTATTCAAGGAGGATCTTTCATTCACACCAGAAGGTCCAACTCCTATACATCATCAGCATGGTGTTGCTGTTCTTCCTTGCGGCCATACATTTCACGACCACTGATCAAAAAAGTCATTGCATTCCTTGTGCCATTGGTGAAACACGAAGTTTGTCGTTTCTTGCTTTCTCTTTTTGGGCTAGTACCAGAAAACAAATTGATTTCCAAACTTTTGTTAAGGAAAAAAAGAAGGTTTAGAGAGTGAGGTTAGGTATGATTCAGACAGAGGTATTTAATTATGTTGCCAGCCAGCGAGCTGATTAAATTGAATCTCATATCACAAGTGACAGAAATTGGACTTGTACACGTTGACAGAATTGGATCAAAAAACATATTCAATGTGACCAAATCTCACATCCAGCCCATTCAATTGGATAAAAATAAAAATAAACAAGGAATTCATTCCTCATCATCTTGTCCCATCCCATATCACAATTCTAAGCATTTTGATAACATAATTTCAAAACATTAATGGTATATTTAGTCATGGGAATATAATTACAATATTCAGTCGCATCTAATCTAATCTAATATTAGTAACCTTTTCTCGATTATGACATTTACATTGAACCTCATTATCTAATAGTTAAATTTTGTATATTTTTTCTTAAATATAAAGGACAGCTTTTCTATATTCTAATTCAACATTTACGATAGCAACTTACCTACATATTAAGGTTCATTTTGAAGAATTCAAAGATGAATTTGGTAACCTTTAAAAGAGAAGATAGTATTGGAAAATGTCCAATTATACAATATACTCTATAGGATGTGAATATATACAGGATTACTGAGATTTACAATGAAAGGAAATGAATAGAAATATCCCTACAATCAAGCTAATGAAATATGCTATAGTTTCAGTTTAGTCAAGATTGAGGAGATATAGGTACAAGATCGTGATCTTGTGCATAGAATCCGGCTGGGATATGGAAGTATATCTAACACCCCCCCCCCCCCCCCCCCTAAAGCGAAGGGGGGGGGG